CAAAGACATGTAGTTGAGGCTGACTAGTGACTGAATTGCCAGTAGGAGTGAGTGTTTGTGTATGGTTGTGTCTCTAAATGTCAGTCCTGTGATAGGCTGGTAGGACTCACCTTTACTGTAGTTTGCCCCATGCGTCCAGACTGGAAGCTCTTGACGAGACCTTTTGCAGCCTCTACTGCTTTGGGGATCTCAGATGGAGAAGGTGGTACGAGCTCCACCCGGGCATAGTACCAGAAGGTCGCCAGTCGTGGTTTGGAGTATGTGACAGCGGCTGCAAGTAACACAAACACAAACTATCTCAGGAGAAACCCTTGCCAAATAGCAGTAAAGTCGAAATCCAGAAAAGCTGCGGCGGTGGTTTATTTGTGTTATATTGTTACCATCAGAGGTCACACTGAATTTGTGTAGTTAGCTGTTAGCAAGCCACAACAACGTGAATTTGGTGGTGTTATAACAAAGGTATATTACACTATTTCTGTTTATAATTGGTAAAAACAGAGGAAGAGAGAATAAACTTACCTCCTACCAAAGTGGGTACTTTTGCAACGAGTTTCTGTACTGCCTGTGCCATATTCACGGTCACCTACAACAGAAGAAGAGGAGAGAAGAAGAAGACTGGAACGAGAACGTTTCCGGGTCGTTGATTCTTCTTATGATGTTTATTGGCGGTTTGCAAGCCAACCTAAGGTTTACCGCCACCTGCTGGGCTGGAGCGTGGAACGACAATATAGCCGAAGGAATAAAAAAAAAAAAAAGGGTTCTTAGAACTGCATAACCTACTAAATCCTATCCAAAAAACCTATATCTGCCAAGTAACGAATATCAGTTTTATATGCATTCTTGCATATTCTTTTGCTACCCAAAAAGCTCTCTGGTGATATATTAGTAATCTAATCTTTTCCCATAAACGCTATCATTTGAGCACGGGTCGTTGATTTCAAAATAAAAGGTGTTAGGAGACAAAATGCCAACGTGATCGTGTGATTTCAAAATAATAATGCGGAAGCAAAAGTAAAATAAAATAAAGAATTATGTGTATTTTAGACAATGACCAGTTTTATTAAAGACAATAATCAATTAATTGTTAAATTCTGATTTCAAAATAATAATGCGGAAGCAAAACTAAAATAAAATAAAGAATTATGTGTTTTTAAGATATTTTAGACAATGACCAGTTTTTATTAAAGACAATAATCAATTCATTGTTAAATTCTACATTTAACATGTAGTCTAATATCCCTGGGGGAAATAAAACCATGTAGGCCTGTTGCTGGTAGTGCTGTCTGCGGGCCCAGAAAGCCCCCCAGAGGCAGCACATGAATGTTAAAATAATGTAAAACAACAATGTACAATAACACACCAGAGTCAATTCACGGGACATTTAGGTGCCATCTTTAAGGTCATCATAATCACACAGGTAGGCCTATGGCTACATTTACATCACCTGCAGAGAACGCCAGGTGACCTCAGTCACGCATATCCGTCCACCAGCAGCAGATCTGTAGCTACGGGAACATGGTTACTGCATTTAACTAAAACACCACAACCAGAGAAAAGAGAAGCGAACTTTGGAGTACGAAGTTGCAGAATTGAAGGCGTTAGTGTTTTTGTAGTGTTTTTTGGCTTGTTGCGTCGTTGTCAGCAAGTGTAGGCAAAAATGGACTAATAAAGAGAATGCCTAGTATAGCACGGCGACCCCAAGAATTGGACCTGAGCCAGGATCGTGGAGAAATCCATACACTGCAGTGCTCGCAGAATGCCATTCAAATAGGTGAGAAGATAAGTTATTTCCTGGTTGCTGATTAGATGCAAGTTACAATGTAGCAACGGGGCTTTGTGTGTCCACATTAGTGTGTTTACAACCGTACAGTCTCGCTTATTTGAAGTGTTATTGTTGATGGGTTGTGAATTGTGATGATGTTTATTTTGCATGCATGTTTATATGCTATGGCTATGCTCTGTTTTACTGTTGACTGTTATCAGTAATGGTTTGTGTATGTTCATGTTGCGTCTGTTGTGGTATCCAGATGAAAAGTTTTGCCTGTTGTTGGGCATTTTTGTTTGTGCATTTTCTAATTGATTTTAGTGAGTCTGTACCGTAGAAGATGGCAAGCTATATTTGTTACTGGCAGTTTGCACAGGTGACTAAGTGCCTTTTTCATAAAACCTGAGTTGTAGTTTAAGGGCCCAGTGGTTCTGTCTAAACCCAGGCCATGTTGCTCCACTACTGTGAGGCATAACTAATTGATTTGGGGTGATTCCTAGTGTGCTGTAGCCATACAAATACTGAAAGTCAAATTGGACCATGAAGTCTCTTATTTTACACAGCAGTATTATTAGATGCAAAGCAAGACGGCATTATTTGTGGCCTACTGGCACCATAAAGCACAGGGACAATTCAGAGTGCTTTTATATAAGGTGAAGAAATGCATGAGAAATAGAAGTGAGGACACCAACAATTTGGGGGTTTTAGGAGGGATAACATTTTGGGACAAATGGTGTAGTTTACCCATTGACGTGGCTAACATCTGGTCATATGAAGATCCAAAAATGACCTCATGAATTTAAATGGGTTTTATTTAATTTGTATTTGGTTTTGTGTACGCAAATGTGTGAAAGGGAGAAAAATCCAAAAACAATGTGGTCTAAAGTTTGTGTGTACAGTAGGCCCCATGTTTGTGTGTCACATGGATGACTTGGCCATTACTCACTGTTCTGTGAATCATCCTGCAGCCCACATAAGACAAAAGCCGGTGTTGTAACAATCAAGAAGAATGCAGGTTAGACCTGCTTTTCCCAAGGAAACGCCCAACTACTGGTGCCATCTGTTTTGATTTTAGCTACTTTTTTAAAGCTATTATTAATTTGCTGTATACCTGTAAGATTGTATGCACTATAATTAATGCACCATAACCACTCAAGAATATCTCAAAATTTGATAACAGCTATTTTGAGATATGTGAGTATAATTAGATTTTCAAATTTGGGAAAAATCACTAGAGGGTGCTCTCTAATAGCTTACAGTACTAAATAGAGATAAACAGCAGGAAACTGTCTTTACCTAATACTCATATATAGCTGTATATGAATCTATTTTATGCTTTGTAAAAGCATTAGTTGAACAATAATTGTGCAATAATCCTTTATTCCCTTTCTTTAATAGGACTGTTGTGCAGCTTGTTAATGCCTTTTGGATGGTGAATGATTGTCAGTGTTGTATATTCTTGTACTTTTTTATACTCTCATGTCACTTGCTGCTGTAATGTGCAAGAAACATAACAAAATTGAGTTAAAAAATAACTCAGTATACCCGTAATGGAATTTGCTGTGTTTCTTGTTTTGCCTCATAAGGGAGTTCTTCAACTCCCTGTAAGTCCACAGAGCCTTCATTGGTTTCACCATTACCAACTTTTGCACATCCAAACATTTATCATGAACTCTTTGCCATGGCTTTCACGAATACCAAATATGTCAACCTGAATTGCATGGAAAAGTCTTTAAAAGAATACAGGCATCAAGAATTTTCTACTTGAAGTAGCCAGGAAAACATCACCTTGGAATTCTTTCAGAATTAGTGTGACAGCCATTCAGAAAGTTTTGCATAGACGCAGAAGAAAAATACAAAGGCATCACATGTCAGACAGTATAGAAGAATGTATAGGTAACTCTGGATGGAATATTAAGGTTAAACAGGGAAACAAAATCGCTGATTTTCTGTAATGCACAGCACAAAAACTGTAACATTACAATTCCCTCAGTAAGGTAATACTTTGACATGCTATAAAATTCTCTTACTGGCTTTCTTACCATGGGTTAGATGAGAGGAATGATATCACACTCACATTTATATATTAAATATAAAGCTTCAGCCTGCAGGCCTTTAGCTTAGCGTAGCATAAAGACAGGTCCAGCTAATGCATAAGTATTAATTTTCTCATCTAACGCTTGACAAGAAAAATGTCTTCCAGCTAAGATGTCAGTTGTTTTCAGGTTAAGAGCAGGATATAGAAAAAAAGTGAAATCGCTAATGCATTTCTAGTTGCTGGCCTTTAGCTGACACTTTTTTAAAAGTGCATTACTGGAAAAATTAATTTTTTTATGATATAAAAGATAAGAAACCAATTTTAAGGAGTACAGAGGTCAGACTTTGGGCCATTTGGCTATCCCTGTGATTCTACAGCACAATGCTCATTCAAAAGTGATGTGTTAGTTCCACACAGTGAGACAGAAGAAGGGCTATGAGTCATAGAAACAGACTTAGACAGAAATACACCTAGACAGGAAGACAAAAACAGAAAGGAAAGCACGTCGCTGTGACTGAGTAAATCTTGCCTTTCATGGTCTAAAACTGCTAGTACATGCAGATGAGATTAAAACAAATGACATCACTACCTTGGCCTTTGCAAGCACGATAAACACAGACAACTTGGTGATGGGGCATCTGCAGAGTAATCAGCTTTAGCCCTACAGGGTATGACGACAGATCAGACATCAGATTTGTGTAAAGATTGGTCCATGTTTATTTCCAAGACAGAGGTGATTAAGTCATTTGTTTTAATCTCACATGCAGCAATTTGAGATACCAAAGAGATTATTTCACTGCATGGCTTTTCCCTTCTTTACAATTATCATCATTTTCCTCATCAGTCTTTCTGTCTTGCTTAGCTCCGTCTGACTGTTTTCTCTCTCTCTCGGGCCCTGTTCAAAAGTTGTATCTGTATCCAGACTGTGTGTAGATAATCTCCAAAACTGACGATTACAGTTCATAGCTTGTATACAAATCCATATCAAATAACACTGATGAGATTTTGCTTGCCTGCTTGCAGGTTTTATCTGTGGGAACACACAGATATGAAGCTAGAGAACAGGATTATTGTGCATTTGCAAACTGAACAAAGCTATAAAACAAAATGAGGTAAAGTTAGATGAGATAGGAGGCAATACACTACCACATTCAGGTGAACTGTGGTGCACACATATAGTATCACAAAATTGTCTCAGCAGTTCTTCAATGCAGATTTGGATACATCTCACTCTATCATAAAGTAAATATGGGCACACATAGATAAGAAGGTTGACTCTGTTCCTGACCATTTGTAATCCGATTACTTGGCACACGTATTTAATGCCAGTGTGAACAGGGTAATGTCAAAAATGAAGCCCTGTGCTTGTGTCTGGTTTCCCCTTGAAGCCGTAAAGCTGCTCTAACTAATGTTTTTAAAGAGCTTTGGATGTGGTAACATATAGTCTGAAGGGGTCAGTCATAGAGACAAACCCACAGAGGATTTACCGCTAGGTTTGCTGTCTTTCAGTTGAATGTTTTGTCCTTTTCCATTTTGATTCAGTCTCAGCACTCTGACCAGCATTATTATCCTTGGCAAGCTTTTTAATGAAAAAAGACTAAAAATCCATGGTACACTGCCTGCTCAGTACCAAACAGCAAACAGACACAGTTAGTGACTATCTGACTAACATATTGTAGCATTTAACAGCTAAGGGGTCAGATATTCGACTCAGGATTTGGTGCAGATCAAAACTGAGCTAAGGGAATGAAAACTAATGGTGCTGTGTGTCTGGGTTTTTAAAGTGGCACCTGTTCACTAACAACTTTTCCATATTGATAATCGGTTTATAGGACGATGATACATCAGTGATATGGTCAAAGTTTTTTGCTGTACCCCTAATGGCCAAACTAATCCGTTTCAGGATACTACCTTTTATTCTTTTGCTTTTAAACCTTGCTAGATTCATTGTTTCTTATCTTTATGTTTATTTCTTTTGTACTTGTCTTTATTCCTGACTGATGTACAGCACTTTGGTCAGCTCCTGTTGTTTTAAATGTGCTTATAAATAAACGTGACTTCCCGTCCTTCTCACCTGAAAGCCACCAGCTTTATGAGAGAGCCATGCTTTCAGAATTGGAGGTGGTGATTTCATCCTGAATGTTTCACACTGAGCTACAAACTGCTCCTGTAGAGGTGATATGGAGTGCTGATGCCAGAGCACAGCACCATCCACAAACAGCAGATTTCCCACCCAGTTGTTATCCAGGCACTCTCCCAACATGAACTAAACCCAAATCAAGCTTGTCAGTGAATAACACAAAGAGAACAGGGGACACACTGAATACTTGCTAGAATCTAAACACCGTAAAGGAACCAATCATGACGAGACATCCAGCACCATGTTTTCTGTGGATGGTTGAGAGTGTTAGCAGCAGTAATGTGACCATTATGTCAGACCACAGAGGTAATAAGAGTTACGACCCTCCAAGCATGTGTCTTAATTTACAGATTGATCTTTGTTCTGATCCTCACTTTCAGCCAGGGGCTCCAGAGGAGACAAGCAGCTGAAGTGAAGCCTCTCCACTGGGTGGCTTGCTTCATTCTCTGTTGTGAGATGAAGAGCTCAGTGGTGCAGATAGCCCCCAGAGTTGTATCTTTAGTTCTTTATAATGAAGAGACCCAGGTGATGTGGTGGTTGAGTTAGGATTGTTATAAGGATATATTACATCCCCCTGGCGAGGACACCAGAG